GCCATGGATCATTAGCTCACTTTGCCTAATAAATATCACTTCTTTAAGGGAAGTATTTCAGCCCAGATTTGTTGTTYAGCTGGGCAGCATCTGCTTTGTCCTGCTTTTTGTGCTCCTGGTACTTCAGTGGGACACAAATTAGAGGGCAGCATATGTGGGATGTCTCCGTGGACATTGTCACAGCAAAAGATTTGATGTGAGAGAGGACTGGAGGTAGCAGGGCTGGCCTAAGGCTTTTGGGAAAGATGAGCATTCTACTGACAGCAATTCCAAGGGGACTGAATTGCAAATGCTGCTCCTGAACCAGTTTGCTGATAAGGCTTGTAGCTCTCCCAGCATCTGCACAAGTGCATTTGCCCAAGATACTCCACAGACTTGTTTTTCATGCTGATAAGGGAGAGTGGTTAAAGGAGCACTTGTAGCAATGAGTGTGTTCATGTCATGCCTGCACAGGAATCATTTATCAAATTCAGACTCCCTCCAGTAGAGGCCCCTCTGATAGCTGTGACCCTTAGAAGCCAAAAAGTACAGCAGGAAAGTGAGAAATGAGGAAAAGCTGGGCACCAAGTGTGGTATGCACTTACCCACCACTCACACAGCTGTTAAAGAGAATAAAAGGAAATTAAAGACTTGCTGTGGCTCCCTGGCAATGCAAAAGCCAATCCCACACGGAGGAGCTCCAGGTAGGCTGGAATAACAATGCCCAAAGCTCTGAGTTACTGCATTTCCTCCTTTCCCATGGGGAAAGCAGCCAGCCCCACACACTGGGCTGGGACCAGCTCTGGGTGAAACAATTCCAGGGCGCTGGGCTCCTCCAGGTTCTCTATCAGTTGATAAAACACCTTTGGGCCACCACTCTGAGGAGCCCACCAGGACAGGCTCTTTATGATGATGAACCTTCTGGAATCTGCCCACGGGGAGAATACTTCTTTAAAAAAAACCCCACTCAACAACAACAACAACAACAAAATGCCCCAAACAAAAAACAAAACAAAACAAAAACCCAAAAAAAACCTGAACAAAAAACCACAAAAACCCATGACAAAAAAAAAAAAAAATGTAACCAAGGGAGCAGCAATGTCTGCCTTTCAGTCATCCAGAGGAGATGTAAGTATTTTATCAGCTTTTTTAACCTTGCTGGTTGCTGTAGCAGTGACTTGCTAAATGCTCCCCAGTAGAGCACAGATCCTGGCATGGCAGAGAGCTGCCATTCAGTTTTCCAGTAATGGAGGAAAATTTGAAAGGGTGCTCTACTTAATCCCAGTTATGGCAGTCTTGACCAGGTCCAATTTCTTCAGTTGTTCCTGATCCTAAAAACATCCAAAAAGAGAACTCAAAATTTTGCAGTGCTTTCTGGCACTGAGGAGCAGGGAAGGCAGCCCTCCACTTTCACTGCAGTCCTGGAAAATGTCCTTTGAAGGTGCTGAGGGAACCCTGCTCCTGGCAGCCACCATGGAATCTGCAGTTTTGGGAGTAATTTCCTCTGTTTCAGCCAAGGCTGGGCTGAGCTGGGCTGAGGAGGGTCCTGAAAAGTGGCTTCAGGTGCTCAGAACTCGCATTTCCAGTCCCATCAGCAGGATGGAGCTGAGTAAGGCTGAGGAATTCGTGCTGGCTGCAGGAAGAGCTGACAGCAGGCAGGTTTCGTGCCTGCAACCAGGATATTTGATCCACCCCTGACAGCAAAAAAGCAGGAATTTAATACATCTTCTGGAGACATGAGGATATTTAATCTGTGGGACCAGGAGAAAGGTGAAGGACAGCAACGTGAGATGGGCTCCAGCAAGAGCAAAGACTCTCTCCTGACACTCATATCTCAGTGTAAGCAAATTGCTATTCCATCTGCCAATGGATTCAAAMGGCAGCTGCTGCTTAACTTGGAGCAGCAGCACACATCCTTGCAGGCTGGAAATCAGTCAAGGCTGCATCCTTCGGGCAGGAGGATTCTTGGAGAGGAGCTTCTCCCGAGGAATTTCCCAAGTGAACAGCAAGAGTGACAGGACAGGCTCCAGAGCCCTGGGAGCTCTGTCCAGAGTGGCTGGAAATGGGAGGRGGGTTTGCACATTCACACAGAGTTTTACACCATGGACTAAAGTGGAATTCAAAGCCCTGAGGGCAGACAGAAAATCCCAGACTTCCCCCAGTTTTAACTCCATTATCCCAGTGCCATCCTCACTGGCATTTGTGCAGTGCCCCTGCCCCACCTCACCTTCCCCAGGACACCTTTGGCTTGTCTCCTCCTTCCCATTGATTCTGCCCCCCTTCCCAAAACCATGACAGCAGATGTGATCCTGGGATCCTTTTGCCTGCGAGGTCTGCATCCCATCCCATCCCATCCCATCCCATCCCATCCCATCCCATCCCATCCCATCCCATCCCATCCCATCCCATCCCATCCCATCCCATCCCAGAGCTCTCATACAAACAGGGCCAGCCCCCTTTGCCATGTACATCCTGCAGGCTTCAAAATTATGGGAAAAGAGTAATTGTGTGAAGTGAAAATAAAGAGACTTTTCCAAAACATCCCTTTGAGTACAGATTTTACATTCAGCTCACTATGAAGGTTTTCCCACTCGCTATATACAAGATTTAATACACACATGGAGAATAAATGCAAATAGCTTAGAATCCAGCATTTTATGTGAACCCATAATTTCACTCTGCATGTCCATGCCTTCAATTCTGCAGCTTTGGCTGCTGTGTGAGAATGTGAAGTGTAGGAATGGACTGAGCAGGCAAACGGGGCTGGTCACGTTCACTGGTGTGGAGAGGGGAATAACCACGGTAATTAATCCATCCGAGGGAACTCTTTTCCCCGCTCAGTGAAACCCCCGTGGCTGAAAAAGCAGAGCAGTTCTCTGTGTGTCCACAGCCTGTCGCTCTCTGCCTCCACAACGGCAGATTTTCCCCGCTGCAGGAAGCACAGAGATCACAGGAATTAATCCTGCTTCTCCCTCGGTTTGCTCAGGMTGCTCCAGGTGGGATCTGCTCTGTCCCAAACAGAATTCCTTCCCTCCACCCTCTGCAGTCACACAAACATGAGCACAATCCCAACACAGAGCAAAGATTTTAAATCAACAAAAGTTTACAATCCAAAYTGTTTAAAGTTAAAGTTTATTTGTATTCTTTGTAGGAATATCAATAAAAGTCCTCAAATGTATCTGTATCTGTACATATTACAAGAACCTTCAAAAATTATTCACAGAACAAAAATAAATCTTCTTTAGAACAAACCCAGGCAATGAAATGCAGAAATGGATCTCAGAGACCAAACAGTCCAGTGCTACAAGCATAAAAATACGGCTTGAAAAACAAGTTTATTCCTTTTTAAAGGTGTACTTTGTTGAAATAAAAAATAAATTATTTAGAGCTATCATTGTAAAACAGTTCTGTGTAGTAACACTCTTATTAAGGCCCTTGAGACAGAAAATCTATTTTTGCAGGTAGGATTCCTGGCAGRCGTGATCTGTAAGGACATGCTCACTCTCCTGGGAGTTAACTTATGTGGAGAAGGAAACACCTAAAAACATCACCCTAAATTTAACCCTTTTTCCTCTGTCAGGCTCAGCTGGATACCTGTGGCTGACCATGCCCACCAACGATGGAAGCACATCATGGCTCAACTCGGACAGGAATTGTTCTCCAGGAACAACCCAGACATTTTTGCAGAACACAAGCAGAATTCCCACACACCAGTAAGTATTGCTGACACATTCCRTGGACACAGCTGTAAAATTCATGGACATCCAAATTAAAAGCTGGTAGGTTTAAGCAAGCATCAAAAGACGAAATTAATATATCATGGGTGAAAAAATTCACAGCCAATCCAAAGCAATCACATGAACATCAAATAAACCCCATTTCTTTGATGATTTATTAGATGGATAAAGAATTTATTAGTGGATACACTTCATATTCTCTACCTAGAAAATACAYACATCCCTGTCCATGCTCCTGTAGATTCCCTGCCTGAGTTATGCCACTGSAGAGGAATGTGGCCAATAGTGTAGCTGGACRAATCTGTGCTTTTGTGCATAGCTGCCCATTTCTGATACACCAGGGAAGTAACAGCTGGTAATTCCTGGATGTGAAATCTATTTCCCTTAAAAAAAGGGTCTGAATTCCTAGAGTTGCAAAGGACAGGGATTTACAGGATGCTGCCCCTAGGCCGTGCTCCCCATCCTGCTCACCTCACACACTGCAGACACCACACACACCCCACCACGAGGGACACACCAGAGGCTGCTCCATCACCCTGCCCTGCTGTGCTGGCCACCAGCTTTTCCTGAGCACTCCAGAAGCCTGGCCAGCTCTGAGGTTTGGACAGAACCCTCCGAGAACGGTACCAATGTGGCCAGCATGGAGACACCAGGATGGGGCGACTTTCCTGCTCAGTCTGAGGAACACCCGAGCATTTCTCCTACAGGCTGTTCAATTTTTCCTGCACTTCCTCAACTGTTTCCCAGTGAGAGCAGCAGCTCCTTGCCCAGCACAGACACAGCCTGATGCCTTTGCTCAGAGTGGGAGCCCAAAGCTGGCTGCACCATTGCTCCCTTGCTGCTGCAGAGCCCGCGGCTACAACACAAAACCCCAACGTGATCAGGGCTCCTGCTCCTCACCACACACGTGCTTCAGWGCCACTTGGATTCCATCAGTCTGGACAAAACACAAACTGGCATTTGCACACACTGTCAGCTTGAGGCGGCTGAGGATTCCCCTGGAAGGCTGCTGGGGAACARACGAGGAGAGACAGCTGCCTGCAGGACTCAGGAGCAGCGTTTTGTGCTGCAGCAGATCAATTCCAGTCTTGCAGCACTGACTGTGCAACCTCCACCCCTCCGGGGCCCGCAGGCAGCGTCTCCTCGGCGCTGGGAGCTGGAGAGCCCTTGGCACCTTAGGGGAGGACCTGGAACAGCAGAGACACAACCAGCCACTCACAAACAACGTATGTGACACCCTGGGGAGGGGTCACACTCTGGAGAATCACTGTTCACTGCTTCCCTACAAGCATTCTACAAGCTYGAGAAACACACAGGAGAAGGTACAGTACTGGAATGATGCACTACCAAGACCTCACCAAAACAGGTGGGATTGGGGCAGGGATTACTTCCCCTGTGAAAATGGAGGCTGAAATACTGCCCCTATTGCATTTCTCTGCAGGAACCAAGGTGGACACCTCAGAGCCCTCAGCATCAAACCTCACAGCTCAGCCAGTGACCTCTGACATTACCAGAGCACAGGGGAGCTCTGGAAAAGGGGGGTCCCAAAGTAAGGCCAGAAYAACAATCCTAGAGCAACACATCTGCTTCTGCCTGGTTCTGTCATCACAGCCCCACGGTGCTTGCTCACCCTCGGTCACAGCACACCCACGTCACCTGTGCCACAAGGGAACCTTCACATGCCCCTTCCGAAAGGGATGGAAACACCCTGTGCAATTACAGTAATGGCTACAGGGACATGCAGATCCCACAGGAATACCCCAGACAGAGGGTTTGTGTAAAAGAAAAGAGGTTTGTGTTAACCTCCCTCATGTGGGAGGTTAAACAAACTGGAGCAGTTGCTACGGCTGCCATGCCTGAAGGGAGAAAGAAAGAAGGAAGAACTCAAAGGCACAGTTTGAGGAATAAAATACCAGAGGTCAGAAAGGACCTAGAGYTGGAAGACGGTTTGGAAAGTTTGGAAAAGCAGTCACTGCTGAGCCAGTGCAGAGCACAGCCCCAGGTGTGTCAGTGCTGGCAGCACCGAGGCCCGGCCAAGCAGCCGGAGCAGCTTTGAYCCCAAAGAGCTGAGCATTAAACCCAAATCCCAAATGGCTGCAGCTGCTGTGCCCCAGAAGGGCTGGCCAGGACTGACCACACACATCCTGCAGCACAAGGGCTCTGCACTGATGCACAGTTGTCATAGAACACACGTGGCTGCTGATGGCAGCTCCAGTCTGCTGACACCAGACACACACTCTGCTCTACCCCTCTGCATCAGCCAGATCTGAGATTAATTCATTTCCAAAAAACAGGCAAACTTGGCAACAGACACTGCATCTGGGTCTAGGTATGGCCAATAATTCACATGCAGGGAACCAGCTTAGACATTCACTGCATTTCTCATGACACATCCAACACTGAGGCACCTCTCAAGGTTTTGTCTCAAAGTAAACTTTTCTAATTTCCACAGCAACACGTGGGAATGGTTAATCACACTTGCTGTTCATGGGTATATGTCCATAATTCAAAATGTCAGTTAATGCTGCAGTAATTTTTTTTGGTCACAGTTTGGGGTGCTAGAAATGCACAGCAAAAACTGGAAGTAAAAATTCACACTCGACTCCAGAATCTGGGATTTAAAAAAAAAACCCTTTCTCAGATTAAATATTGTAGATTTTGATGAAATAMTGAGAATTGACACTACCAAGCCATTTACTGTTCATCTGTTACAGGCTGTGAATGTCACTTTCTCCCAGGAGAAGGCCACTTTGGAATGATATCCCATTTACATACAGTCTGGAATCATGCTTCTATGAAGCACAACTGAAAGGAATTGGAGATGAAAGCTTAGTCAAAACTCCTGAAGAAAAGCTGGTGTGTACAGAACTCAAAAGAAATCCCTTKAAAGCATCCAGAGAAAGGAAAATTTCAGCAGAAATGGAAGATCCTTCAACAAGGGTGTTAAAAGCACCTTTCATTGGAGCTACACTGGCTGAGCAAGTGGYTGAAATAGTAAATATGAGCAAGCATTAAAATACAGAAATCCTCTAGAAAAAGGRACTTTTGCATATGGAATTTCCTGTGCTGGGCTTGGGCAGCCCTTTCCCAAGAGGATTAACCTGGCTGTTCCCAGTGGAGAGCAGAAAGGGAAGTCAGAGGGGCATACGGTGGGAATCGGCTAGAAACTGTTAGAAAAGTATTTACAGGTCTGTAAATTCTCCAAACAGAAAATATAAAACTGCATTAGAASTGGGGTAAAAAAGAAAGAATCCTACCACAAAATCCTGCAAATTCCCTCTGTCTGACAGGAAGCCTGACTGTGCAAATTCCAGGAATCCGGCCTGCTGCTCTCACTCTGTACCTTCTTCAGAAAGACCGGTTGTTTCGCCAGAGTCCTATCAAAAGCAGGTACAGGACGCAGCAAGAGCCAGTTCTCTTGCTAAAATGTTTGCTATCAAGTTTGCATTCAGCTAAAGACCAGCTGGGGAAGAGGGGAATAAACCCAGCCATGAGTTTTCCTATGGAATTCATCTCACTCCACTCRTGTCCTTGTCTCGGGCAGTTGCTGTCTGGGCTAACCCAAATCAYGTCTCACCCACACCACGCACGCACACACACTCCCCTCTTCCTCCTCCCAGGACTGCAGTGCTTTCAACGAGAGAAAAACAACAACAACATAATATTAATAATAATAATAACAATAATAATAAAAAAAATAGCAATAATTAAAAAAATCTACAGTATTCACTTCCTTTTGGTATATTACATTGGCATTTTCTGTACACAACCCAAGAGCTCCCTCTATTTACACAGTGATCCAGAAGGATTTATTCCGGGGAGCCTGGTTCCCCTGGCCCTGAGTGGGGAATTGAAGCCCACCCTTCAGAGTTGCTTTTCCAACTTTATTGAATGTACAATACTATCTTAAAACAATTTAAAATACAACTTTAAAATACAACTCTAAAACAATTTTAGAACAATCTTCAAACAATACAATCTTCAAACAACGCAACTTTCCTTTCAAGAAGAACAAGGTAACTTTCCTTTGAAGAACAATGTAACTTTCCTTTCAAGAAGAACAATGCAATTTTCCTTTTTAGGAGAACTACGCTCAACATTCAGTGACCAGGAGGAGGAGTCTTTGCTTTGCTCCGGCCGGCTCCTTCACGGAGATGGTTATCCGCACCTGCAGAATTAGAAACTGCTGTTCTTAAATTCACCATTCTCCGTGATGGAAAGCTTGGGAGGGTTGCCATTCCGGACGTGCATGGTGTAGCGCTCCTTTACCTGCGTCAGGGCGCTCATCAGGCGCGTGTTGGCCGAGTCCAGGAAGACGATCCGCTGCTCCTGCAAAGACAGCCCGCAAGGTCAGAGCTGCTGAACCCTGGCCAGTTCAGGGAGCATCCCGGGCCAGCTGGRGCCATCCAGCAGGCAGCTTGGGCCACAGGCAGCTGGGCCAGCGTTCCTGGAGAGATGGGCTGTCTGCCTCTTTCTGTTTTCGGGGTGCCACCGCCTCCTCTGCGGCCGGTCCGACCCTCCGGAACTTTGTGGGGACAATCCGAGTTACACTGGGCGTGGATGCTCCACCCAGCCAGGATTTTGGCACAGGGTGTCGGTGTTAATAACAGTGGTAGCCAATTTCAATATTATCTTTCAGAAGTATGTTAGAAAAAAAACAGAAACAGGCAGCAGAAAATAAAAGTGATGGGGGTTTCATCTGGCAGAGAAGAGTGCAAGTGGTATCTACCGACCATTGTCTCTGTGTTTTTGGATGGAGTGTGCTCAGAGTAAACTCATGGGATGCTTGAAATAAATAAATAAATACAATAAATAATAATAATAATAAAAGCGGATAACGGCAGCCTGCGGTGACGGTGCAACAGCAACACAGAGAAGCAGCAGCCAAAAGCTAACGCTAAGGGTTACTGGAGTGAGGGGAGGGGCACCGTGGGTGCATGGGGGGAGATGCCATCGACAGAACACAAAGAACAAACACGGAACACGCTGCTCCTAGACCCATTCCAGCTCGGGGGGCTCCCGGGCTCCACAGCCCACGTGCCCCGTGGAGTGTCCTTGCATGGAAGGTGGCAGCCTCCACTGGGAGCAGACAGCTCAGGGATGTGTGCTAAATTGCCAGAACCCACCACCAGACCCAGCCTGCCCACTGTGGCAAATCTGCACTGGGCTACTGCACCAGGGGGGCAAACAAGGAGTTGTCAGCACAATCAGAAATGTCAATTTTCATCTTTCCTAAAAAAWAATAATAATAATAATGCAGCTGCAGAGAGCAGCGCTGGAGACAGCAGGAAGGTAAGTGTGCTCTCCATACCACCAGCTGATTGGCTTTTGTTCTTTGAGAAGGGAAAATGTCTAATTTGCTTGACTGAAAGAAGATGCACGTAGGAACTCTTTCCAGTCCAGCCCATCGAGAAACAAAATGGAGGGAAAAATGATGCACAGAGGGCATAAACACTGAGGAACAGCTCAGACAMACTGCTCAGGAGACTCATGTGCTGCCACAGCCCCTTGGGATTCAGATCCCAGCACTAATCAGCACTAATCAGCAATGTTGGCTTTTCTCAGCGGGCTCCCCCAYAGGGGTGAGTGTTTGGGTGCAAAATCAAAGCAGAATTCAAAKCCTGCTTCTGTTACAGCCCCGAAGACACCAAGCTCTGTGTAAAGCAGAGGAGAGAAGGCACGAGGCACCAATTCTGCCTCAGCCCTCATCCCAATCCAGCTGACAGGAGCAGGGAGAACACGGAGCTGAGGAGTTGGAAGCCTCTCCTCCCATGCTGAAATGAGCCCTGCAGAACCCAACTGCCTCAGCAGAAATGTGCTCCTCAGCGAGGCAAAGCTCCTACTCCTCCAACTGTATTTCACCCAGAATATACAATTTTAAATGAAAATTTCCCTTCTGAAAAATTTCTGAAAAATATTTCCAAAGAGTTGAGAATGAAAGGCTGGGTGTTTTCTGGCACTGCTGAGCACTCACTGAGCCAGTCTGCAAAACAGCTGGAWATCCACATGTGGAAAACCAATCTTAAAAGCATGAGATGGTGAGTAGAGGCTGAAAGGAAAATTGGATGTACCAGGCATGTCTTTAGCGAGCTCAGGGCACAGGGAGCAGGAGGAGCTGGAATGGGTAGGAGGTCAGTGTGCTGGGCCAGGACTGGGTACTGCTCAGCTAGAGAACTGATTGGGTTTACTTGCCTGTTGGAATTATCTCATCCCCATTTATGACCTGTAATTTAACACAGCGGAGATGTCACTCGCAATAGCAACTGGGCCAGTTCTCTTTGCAGCTCCGCCGCTCCGAGGAGAGAGTTTGGCCAGACCTGTCCCTGCCCAGTGCCCAGAGCCAGGCTCCAGAGCCAGGAGAGCAGCTCAGGGCACCCCCTCAAACCACCCTGGGCTGCTGTCCCTGCCAACAGGATCCCAGGTCACTGCTGCTCCTGGCAGCCTTTCACTCTTCAGTCAGGTTCCAGCCCCACTCCACAAATCTCAACATAAAAAAAAGAGACTTTTCCTTTTCTAGCCACTGAAGGAATCATACACCAAATAAAATCTTCCAAGCACGACTTCAAGGGATTGCTACAGAGCCCAGCAGACACCTGGGCTCCCCTGGTGAGTCTGTTCTGAATCTTTCATCAGTTTCCTCCTCTGCTCAGGTACTCGAGGAAGGACAGTGACAACTGCACTTCCCCTATGCACTGCCTGACAGTGAAGCAGTTGAGATTTGCCCAAGAAAAAAGAGTCAAATTCAATCATTAATGCTGCTGGTTTTGTTCCTATTCTTTTGGCAGTTTCCASCACAGGTGATGGATGCTGCACCATTTGATGAAGTGTGATCAAGAACCACACCSCTCCAGCCCTGAGGGTTTGAAGGTCTCACAAGTCAGCAGTGGTCCCTTCTGCCAGCTGGTGACACTGGGATCAGACTGGTCCATGTTCCACCTTGCTAGCCCACAACCAACACCAAGGCTGAGAGCCTCCTGGCACGCACAAGTAACAGGCAAGTTTCTTACTCAGTCACAACCTCTCAAGTCCTCCCCTCCAAAGCACACTTTTCATGTTTTCTCAGTGCCCCTTCAGCTTCTTGAGGCCGATGAAAAATGCATCCACCTCTTTCAGACCCCAGGCTGCTGTCTGGCTGAGCTGCCATTCCATGTCTGTAACAGTGAGATGCCCTGACTGTGCCTATCTCCAAAAACCAGTTTTTTGCTGCTTTGTGTTTTCTCTACAGTTCCACATGAGTTCAAATATTCCTAGTACTCCAGTGCCATCTTTAACCATATTCAGCTGAGACTCCCACCACCACTCTTTGTGCAGGGAATAACTTGGGTTATTCCTAAAAATACTGTTAAAGAAAGTTTCCATTTGGAACTACTGAAAAGCCCAGAAGCAGGAAAGAGACCCTCCAAGTGCAATACCACAAATGTAACACGGCAGGCAGATACAAACCAGTCCCAGATTCTGTRGTGGGATCAGCACAGACACAGAGGGAAAGCTGGAATGACCCCACAGGATACACCCACATGCACTGCCCACTGGGCTCCCCTCCCCACAGCTGCCCCGSGTGACCAAGGCGGGAGCTGCAGGTTTGTGGGAAATGGGCATTTCCTCAGGACTGCTGGGGACGGCCAGTGGGGTGAAATGCCACACGTGACATTCCCAGGACAATGCTGGGTTGCAGCATTCTCTCTCCTGGACTCCCCTGTCCAAAGCCATGCTGTTGCTGGCACAGCTAAGATGCATGCACAAGGCAGCTCAACTATGCTGGGTGAGGCACAGCTACTCCCAGGTCCACACTCAGAATGACTTCTACACAATGCACTGCTATTCCTTTACCCCTTGGCATCTCACAAAGTAGCAAAGTTTTGGGGAAGTGATCAGTCCTGGGATTTGTTGCCAGGCTGCCCCAAAGCCCAGGTCAGACAATATTAATTAAAGCCCCCAGTTCTCTCCCAGAGGCAGTAAGTGACACGTGTGGCACCAAGGGCTGATACAGTTTGGGAGATAKAGAACAGTGCTGGGGCAGAAGAGAGGGCAGAGTAACGGGCTGTACACAAGTTCTGGGAGATCCCGAGCTCAGTACCTACCTGTGCATCAATAATTTTCTGCTTTGCGTCGATCACTGCTTGCATTTCAGCGTGATCCTTTTTCAGCTCCTCTTCAACAGCCATGAGTCTGATGAGCAAAGAGAGGGACAAATTAGGATGATTTAATACTATTCCTAGGTGTTTCAGTTACTCTGACCTGTTGGTTTGACTCCTCTGCTTCTCCTGGCTCTGCAAGAGAAGAATTCTGTTGCTCTCAGGAAAGTTTCTCTCCATCTGACACTCCCAGCTGCCCAACCTTGTTATTCTCAGAACGGACATTGCCAAAAATACAACTGCACTGAAAACTAATCACAAGTACAGATTCCAAACAAAAAACCCCAACCTTTAGTAAGTACAACAGAGACCTAAGTTTAAAATTCCTAAATATCATTAGGAATTCATTGTCCTGACAATCTCAGGCAAGTTTCCACACCTGTCTCCCCATTTCTTCAGCTCTAAGACAGGATGGAGAGAACACATGGACACTGCTTGTCCCACCCAGTCCCGAGCTGTCCAAAGCCTCACCTGCTGATGATGCTTTTCATCTGGCTGTCCTTCTCCTCCTGCTGCTTGCGCAGTCTCTCCTCACTGTCTTCCAGTCTGGTCTTGTACTCCAGCAGCAGTTTTTGCATCTGTTGTTCCTGCACCAGGAGCCGCCGCTCGTACTCCTCCAGCCGGCGGCTGGACACGCGCAGCCGCTCCTTCAGCTTGGCGATCTCCTGCTCGTACTGGGGGCCAGGGAGGTGGCAGGGAAACACATTCAAAGGAAAAAAAGAAGAGATCACACCACTGGAATGCTATGCTGCTCTTCAGGGCAGTGTTGGGGTGGTTTTTTTAATGAAAAATAAGTTGATGGAAGGAAATGGGAAGTAAACATGGGGGCAACCACAAACATGGAAGTGCATGGGTTCCCACTGGGCATCCAGCTGCCCCCACGCTGTGGGATACTCTGCAGCACAAACTGAGCAGGTAGAGGGCTCTGACATGGCTCCTCAGCCCTGACTGGTAACATCTTGCCTTACTCCAGACTCCAGCAGATCTCCAGCAGATCTCCAGCAGATGCTGCTAACAGTGCTCAGCTGCAGAAATCGCCTGGGCTGCCCAAACTTACAAACCAGACTCGTGTGGGACCCAAATAACTCAGAACCTAATTAATCAGGGCATGAAACCACTGGGGARGTCAGGGCAAACCAGTCACTGCAAACCAGAGTGTGTCAGGTTACTTTGCTGAGTTTTTGTTCTTCTTGTCTCTGTGAGCAATCATTTCTGCTATAGTACCATGAATCTCAAGATATCCCTTTGTTTCGGGTTCATTCACCTTTCCTAACAATTCTGTGTTTCTGCTGCTTTGCCCACTAAATGTTCTCCTCCTTACTCCCTGCCTTCTCAAAATACCAAACCTCTTACACAACCAACCCCGTCCCCACAGCAACATATGGATGTTACCGTATTTGGAAAAATGGGATCTACTCCTGAAAAAACGTACACTTTAAAAAACAGATCATGAAGGTTTCTGTGCAGCTCAGAAACCCTGCAGCACATAGGTGACAGGCATTTACCTCAGGGGAAGGCCAAAAAAAAATGTGACTGCAACCACCAATGAAGGCTGAGCTGAAGCCCTGCATGTCCTAAGYCATGCTCAGTCAGGTTAACAATCCTGATTTACTCTTTTTTGTGGGGTTAATGTTCACTATAACCAATATAACCTGTGTGTGATGTGTGATGCTGTGAGAGCAGGGCCTGACAGCCCCTCTGAACTCACTGTGGGGTACACAAGACTCACCTTCTCAGCATGCTTGACTTCATCCAGGCTCTGAGTGGTGTCCTTCTTTGTGTCCTCRTACTGCCCATTGTTGAACACCCACGCAGCCGTCCTCTCCACTGGTGACAGCGTGGCTGAGTCCACTGGTGACTGCACCTGGGGCAGACACAGCTGTGAGCATTGTCCAGAGAGATACACAGAAACCAGCTCTGAAATGCAGTTCACTTAGAGGAGAAAGATACCCATGAAGCTGTCAGCCTCAAAGCTGTCACCCCTAAAATGTCCCCTGCAGGGATATTCCATTCTCCCGTGACTTTGCACCTACAGCATCTACCTGAATCCCTCTAAAACCAATGGACTTCAGAAATTTTTCCTTCGCCTCCAAGTGAGCTTCTCTCTGGAAAAGTTGTTGTTTCCCAAACCTGTTTATATCCACCTGTCCCTTTGCCACACTGTCAGCAAGGCTTTCTCACCCTGCCACATCCTGCTCAGAGAAAACAGTGGCAAAGCTCTGCTCACAGCCTGCTCAGGTGAGACAGAGTGGGTTCCCTGCAGTGCTGAGGAGCTGAACTTGGGAGCAGCTTCCTCAGCCAGGCTGGGACAGATTGCAGAGCAGTGTGGGCTGCACAGTCTGGATGTGGGATGTAGAGGGAAATTTGACACAATCATGGCAGTGCTGACAGGTTTGGATGCTCCATTGCAGCACATCCACCCTGCCAGGGCCAGCTGTGCTGACCTGGAGAACTGTCCAACCTTTTTGGAGGCTCTCTCTCCTCTTTAAGGGAATCCAAAAAGKGAGCCAAGAAAAGAAACAAGGAACTCTCCGCCTGGCTGGGGAAAACACGGCTTGCTACAAATTCCAAGCAATTTTCATGGACAAAGACAAGTCTATAAGCGAAGGAATTAGCATAATTATCCCTGAAAGAGCAACACTGTCTTATGTTTTTGAGAAATGCAAAAGATCAACTTCTCCCCAGCTGCAGCTTCTTTTTGTGCCCAGGCAGCTCTTCAGCTCCCTGCCTGGCCCAGTGGTGCACCCGAGTGCACTGTGCTCCATGGCTGAGGGTTCTGAACCCCCCACCTCAGCCAGGAGCTCTCCATGGGGGAGGAACAGCTTCTTTAGGAGTCAGGGATCACGTCACCCTTCTGCTGTGTTTCTCCTGCTCAGGGGACAGGCCTGGTGGGCGCTGGATCTGCTCACACAGCTCAGCTKTCCTGAGCAGCCATGGACACTCCAGCACTGGAAGAAGCCTCAGCAAAAATGTGAAGGCGAAGAAAATGCATAGGAATTAGGCTAAATTCCTGAAGTCTTCACAGAAAGAAAGCTAACAGCCCCTTAGGTGTAGTATGACAGCCTGGCAAAGCTCCTTAATTCAGATTTTTTTGATGGCATTTGCTGTCAGAGCAAGGGAAATCATAGACCGTGTGTGGCTGTAAATCACTGGAGAAATCAGGAGCTGCAAGGGATGAGCAGTGTCAGCATCCACTGGAGCTGTGGAGGACTCAGACAGCAGGAAGGTGACCATAAAGTGCATCCCCAGCCCTGCACCAGACTGATGAGCAGCAGCAAACCTGGCCAAACAACCTTCCAAGTGCAAGGCAGAGTATTTCCAGCAGCCAGATTCTGGAAGCTGCCAAAGACCAAACGGATGGCAAGTCACACCCGCAAATGGGATACAAGTTATTGTCTAATAAAGGGCAAAAAAAGAATCAGCTTGCTAGGATCAGGATCACACATTAATTCCCCTCTTTGCCTCTCTTCCAGAGGAACACACTGACATTTCTGTTCCCACCTACCTCCTAAATGGAAATGGAAGGCAAAAAGTGACCTCTCCCAGCAAACAAAGGGCCCAGCTCTATATTCAGAAACAAATGGGACTTGCAGAGAACAGTCTAATAATTATAACGCCCACAAAACATGCCTAGAGAGAACATGCCCAGAAAGAACATGCCCAACTTCTCTTTTCTCTTTCTCTTTTTTCAAATAAGAACAGAATTCCACAACAAGATTTGCAATTAAAAGGACGCAATGGAATTTGCCTTGAAAAAAATGCTGGCCACTTGATTTGGCACCATTTGAGATGCTGTTCATGGGTGTGGGGAAGGGGAGAACAAACTGATTTCTCTGAATAAAGCAGAAGCAAGTACTCTAATGAATCCAGTGGAAACAATTAGTATAAAAAGTACAGTGGGAAAAAAGTGGGTGCACATCCCCTTCACATTTAYCCTTGTTACTGGCCTAAAATGTCCTTCCAGCACCACACAAGGCCTGGTTGTGCTCCAYAAACACCCTTTACCTATCCATGCCCCTGTGCCCCAATGTAAAACACTCTGCAAGAGGACACAAACACACAAACTTCAAATAATACATAATTACTTTCTTGGGTATTACTARCTTGGCATACTAAGCTTTGCTTTGTGATGCAGTATTTCTGGTCTTGTACTTCAATGAACTCGAGGTGTCAAAGTAGTTTTGAAGCCCTGATTGCTCCTGGGTTCCCAGGCATCACCCASATTTTCCTGTAACAATCAGTTTGCCCAGAAAGCTCCATTGTCAGGGAACACCAGGAAAACCCTGGGCAGAGCAGATTTGTTCTGCCAGCTTCACCTCATAACCAAAAGCCCTCCCCCTGCAAAACCTCCAAATATCAAATCATGTTTTCTACCCTCACTGTGGTGCCAAGCATTGAAACACTCTCTTTCTCTTTAAAATTGTAATAATTTAGGAGAATATTTTCTTACACAGCAAATCACAACAGGATTACTATCACTTTTTTTCAAAAGATAAAGGAACATTGGCTTTTTGACAGGAAAACATTGATTTATAGCTGCCTATGAACAACTGATAAAGGACATTAGGAGCTGGTAGATATAAGCACTCCTTTCCAGAAAAAATTTGCATTATTCATTGTTTGGGATGATTAATGAAAAAGCAGCACGTATTTGAGGACCAGCAAGAGATTGCTTCATCACAGTGAAATATGGATTTCTCCACACTTTAGGCAACTGTTCTTATTTGTTATTTTGGCAGCRGTTATTCTGTGATGTTTTATCTTTGTTCATTTCCCCGTTTCGAGGTAGCTCTGCTTTTAAATTAGCACCACAGGGCAAACGCAGTCTCACGTGGTGATCTGAGCTACCATTTGGAACAAAGCTGCTCCCGTTTTTTTTCTTTGTATTCAGGRAAATTTTCCAGTTCTGTTTCTTTCAGCAGGTTTGCTGCTACCTTAGTAAATAGAAAACAGGAGTTTTTTTTAAAATTCAGTACAAAAGCATCCCAGTGTCACAGATAAGGTGGCTCGCCAAGCTTGCGAGGGTGACAAGCACAGCTACTGGCCACTGGCCTAAGTGCTGCTGCTCTTGATTGGGCTCCACTCCAAGGTCAAGAAAGCTTTGGAGGCCAAGGAGCAATGAGCTGAAGGTCTGCAGACAGGATTTCCTTACCTGCTGCGTCTGCTGCCGCTGAATCGCCCGCACCTTGGGGACRGGGCTCTCCCTGGAGGAGGAGGACTGGTGCCGCGAGCGGTTCCCGTTGGGGACGGTCTCCATGCCCATGGCTCCCGAGGCTCCCGACACGCTGCCCGTGCTGCGCAGGGAAGGGCTGTGCGTCAGGCTGTGCAGAGTCTTGGCCCTGGTGCCCAGGGCCTGGTCCATCTTGCGGATCTGCGCCTGGCTGCTGCTGTTCTGGCGGGGCAGCACCACCGGCACGTGCTTGTCGCTGCCCGCGGGGCGCCGCGCCGAGTCCTCGCTCTGCGAGCTGCGCTTGGCAGAGTCCTCCAGGCTGCTGTTGCTGCGCCCGCTGGGCTTGAAATCCTCGCTGTTGCTGCGGCTCCGGGAGCTGGCAGTGCTCAGGTTCTCCGGGCTGGAGTCCACGGAGGCCTTGGCCGTGGGGGGGCTRGGGTTGTTGAGCTGGTAAACGGGGTTCTGGAATGACAGGGGCCGGAGGCTGCCCTGCTGGTTCCAYGCCGGGTGCAGCGGCCTCCGGACCTGGGGAGCGCTCTGAGGGGTGCTCTGGGTGTCCCACAGCTGTTTGATGTTGGCCACCTGGGTGATGGAGAGCTGGCTGCCCGCCAGGCGCAAAGGCACGTCGTGCATCATGGAAGCRGTGTCACTGTGAGCTGTGTGAGGGTCCTGCAGGTCCATGAGAGAGATGCTGCGTCCATTGGGCAAGACACTTACCTTCTCATCCTTATCTGAGCAAGTCATGCTCTGGGTAGATGCCTGCTGAACCAGCAGTAAGGTCTTGCCCCTAAAATGTCCATCTACATTTTCCTGGGTTGGAGATTTCAGCTTATTTATGTCACTGTAGAGTGGAAAGGAATTTGGTTAATTTTTGAGCAGCCGAGACCCCAAGAGATCTGTCCCAGAGAAGTCTTTCTACCTCACTTAACCTCCCCCCACTGAAAGCTTCAAGGAGCCAGACTTCCTTTTATGAGCTCTTTGTGTGCAAGTCAGAACAMAATCTTCCTTAATTACCACTTATCTTGGAGGTTTGTGTTTGATTCAAGCAGTCCTTCATCTTTTTTTTTTTTTTTCACAGATGAAATCTAAACCATTCCCACTAAATCCTCCCCCCTTAATCACTCCTGACTCTAGCAAGACTTCAGATGCCATTTAACCCTTCACCATTATGTAACAAGAAATGGGACAAAAGGAAACAGCCTCAAGTTGAGCCAGGGAAGGTCTAAATTGGGTATTAKGAAAAATTTCTTCACCCAAAGGGTTGTCAACACTGGCTCAGGCTGCCCAGGCACTGGTGGAGTCACCATCCTGGAAGGATTTAAAAGGTGTGGAGATGTGGCACATGGGGAGTGGTTTAGTGGAGGTCTTGGCAGTGCTGGGCCAATGGTTGGACTTGACATTCTTAGAGGGCTTTTCCAACCTTAATGATTCTATGACTCTGCACTGTGGAGGCCTGAAAATGCAGCAGCAGTTGGTGAAGGCTCCTGCAGAGCTGTGGTAAGCTCAGAGGGCAGAGAAATCCACACGGCAAAATTGGCCCTTCTACCCGACAGCAGAGGTACCACTGCGGGCCCGCAGCAGCCGAGCCCTTTGGCAGCTCTGCRTGTCACAGCTCCACATTAACAGCTGTGACACTGGGAGAAATGCTGCATTACACACAGGAGGGACGATTTTTGCTGTTCCACAGGTAACAAGTTTCACCCACAGCTCAGTTTTTCCATTAGCAGCCTGATAGCCAGAAGGAAACACTTCAGCTGACTCAGGCTGGCAGTAAATCACAGAACTGGTTTTTTATCAGCTCAAGCACTGACTCCCAGAGATGTAGTTGAGTCCTGGGTAAGTCCAAATTCCAGGTCCCCAGTGCCACCTTGTGTACCCTTTACTGGGATGGGGTGTTCCCTGTGAGAGGGGCTCCAGCTCCCCATTCCACAGCGGGGCCGGGCAGCCAGCTCAGGTGATGACACCCTCAACCCCTGGAATAACAGCAGGGTTTGGGCTGCAAGGGGACCTYGAAGATCATCCAGTTCAACCTCCTGACACCTTTAACAACCCCACAGCTGCCCYTGAGCTCTGGCTGGGACGTACCCATCCGTAGGGTCCTCAGTTATCTTCTGAAGTCCCGAGGAGAGACTTCCAGCAACATTTGGGCTGGAGCTGTGCTCCGTGAAACGCTTCAGCTGCTGCTGCGTGGGTGTAGGGCTGGTCATGGATTTTGCAATATCCGCAAGAATACGAGGAAGAGGCCCCAGTTTTGCCACAGTTGCCTGTAGRAAGGAATTTTCACCCTAATTGGATACAAGCACCACGACATCCGGCGGGTTTTTGTTTGGGAACGATGCACAGAGGGATGGAGTGGAAGGAAGGAGGGTGGGTGGTTGTGTGCGGGTGTGCCAGGATCGCAATGCAGTGTTATGGAGCAGCGCAACGACGGCGACCAGATGGATGGAGGAGACGAAACGGGGTGCAGCAGACATTGAGGAAAGAAAAGGAAATAGAAAAGAAATTAGGATTGACCCCCAAAAATAAAAACCATGCTCAATAAAACAAAACTACTGCCATTCCAATGCAAAACTATCATGCAAAGCACACTGAGTCCCGGGTGGGTGAGGTCAAAGTGAAAACTGATCTGATCATTGAAGGGCATTCAAAGGCTACAGATCCAGCCGGTGGGGGGAACTTTCCAGGCAAAGGTGTCATGTGGTAAAGGAAATGCATGCCAACAGATGAGGGGGATCATGAGAGGGTTGCAGGGGTTGAGGGTTATGRGGAAAGGGAAGGTTTTCATTCAATAAGCCTTTCATTTTTGGTATCCTACACGGATGCCATCTCCTTTCACACCGTTACAGTTAAGTCATTCTTCCCTAACCAAACATGAAAAAAAATAACTGCATGAGAGCATCAATGACTGTCATCCCAATATCACCCCACCAGCATGGGATGAAGTGTGTGGCTCCAATTACAGCTTAGCTCAGTGCTGGCCAGGCTGAGGGTAAGAGCAACTGGCCTTCTGCAAGGAAGGCAGCTCCTCCAGGCCCTGGCTTCTCACCCCTGCGGGCAGATCAGCTACAAGGCATCTCCAGGCTCCTGGGACTGCAGGAAGAAGGTGAAGGTGCTGTGGATTTAGTGAAAAAATAAAATTCTTCTACAAAACCAATGTTCTTCTCAAAGATTCCCTTATCYTCCCCATAAGCAGGTGTTCAGCCAGTTTGGCTCCAGGGAAAGGTCTCTTTACAGACACTTCCTACAGCACTTCTTCCGTGGCTATTAAAATCTCTGAGGTGGCTCCTCTCATTTATTTCCCAGTCATTGCCTACAGGAAAGCCATAATGCATGTGACTTTAGCCCTTAATTCTCTTTTTAGGAAACCACTGCACCAGCTCTGAAGGGCCTACTAGGACAGATCCATACATTTAACCTACAGAAAGGGCAATGCAATTCCATACGTTGGGAATGCACACCATGTACACGGATGAGATAAATTGAAAAACAAGATCATAACTTGTTACCAAACTAAGATTAATGTATAGATTGTCCTTTTGAGTCAAGGACATTTCAATTTACTCTGATGCAACAAATTCAGCTTTTTTTTCTCTTTTAAATAATGTACTGTGAAAAAATAGATACCCAACAAATAACTACTTTGGCAAACTCTAATGCAATAAAAATTGAGTGCATTGTTATTCACCTTACAGATCCAGTTTCAAAAGGAAGAATAATATACATGGAATATGGACAAGATAATGCACTTCTAAAAACTGAAGCACAGAACAGTTCCAAGCACTTAAAAAAAAAAAAAAAAAGATTCATAGCTCAGCTTTTCCGGGCCTTATCACCTACCTTTGCTATCAAGATTTTAATGATTTTGGTTCCTGCAAACCCACATAGCTAAGGAAGAGCACAGTTCTGCCYTTCCTCCTTCTGTAGCTAAATGGATTGGGATCAGAACAGGACCTGAACACTGCAATGAGCTCAGCACGGTGCACAGCAGAAAGCATCTTGCTTTGCCCCAGGATGACCCTCGGAGTGGATCCAGCTTTTTACATGGCATCCCTTGCATGCCAAAACCAAAGACTACGGAAATGAGACCATCTCAGCAGGCTTTGGATCAGGTTGTTGATGAGAACAGTTCTGCAGGGCCAACTAATTTCTTCATCTGAGCTGGGGGAGGGCYTGGTGTTGAGCACAGCACCTCCCTTAGCACCAAAAGAGCATTGMAAAATTATGTTTTTCTGTTCAAACGCCCTCCCTTTACTCCAGCTCACTCTTGAGAAAGGATTGGGTGGCCAGGGAATTCCAGGTCTACTTTCAAACAGAGCCTTCGGCACTTGACCTTCCTAAAGGCTCTGCAAAGTGTTTGCACTGCTGCTGAAAGCACTTCACACGCCCCACTGCGGGCCTGGATCCAAAATCATGGAAGGAGCTGCTGTGAAATACCACTGTCAAACATTCCCCTCCAAAGCTCTTGGCTTCCCTTGACATTCCCTGGTGTTTACTGTTGCTATGGCACCATCCCCAGATTCACCCTGCCGGGCCTCCCAAGAGCTTTACCTTATCAAGTTGGGACACAACTTCCCAMAGGAGGGAATGCAGCACAGAGAGCTCTTTGCCCAGGTCGATGTAGCCGTCATATCCAGGCATGTTGGAGATGGTTTCTGGGTTAGAGAGCTCCCTCAAAAAACGCTGCATTCCTCCCCACTCATGCTCCAAAAATTCATTCATGAAGGTCATGTACTCTTCCTTAATACCAAACCTGCAGGAAAGGGAGGTGGGGGGAAACCCAGTCAATAACCTCCACACAAAATACAAACTACAAGTGCTTACAGATAATTACTTAAACACTTTACTTTAGATCTGCCTTTCTGAAGATTTGGAGTATTTTCAAAAAAAAACCCCATTCAAAATCTGAAGATTTTTAAGTCTTGGAGGAATAAACCCACATGGACAATTTAAGAGATTCACTGCTTTGTTGTACTTATTTAAATACTACTACTTCACTCTTTATATTACAAATTATATCTCTCCCCTTCCTCCCACAGATACTYTTTCTCTCCTCCTGTGCAGGAGACGTGCCATGCCCTTTGTATTGTTCAGGTGGGAATTCTGGATGGAGAGAGCAGGAAAATCATGATCCTTGGTGAGAACAGCATGTTGAAACAGCATATGCACTACCATGCTAGTGCATGACTCTTCTTGGTCCTGTGYGCCCTGCACAGAATTCAACACAGCTCCAATCTGCAGGTCAGAAGGAGAATTTATCTGAGGTGTCTGGGGGGAGCAGTGTTCACATCTAAGTGAGGAGTTTCCTCCTTTCCAAAAGCTGGCTTGAGYTTGCCAGAGAATCAGCTGCCTGTGAGCACAACTAAGGATCARGGCTCTCCTTGCMCTCCACAGATTTCAGTTTTGCTGGCATCACCTACTTGGCAAAATTGGCGAGGTTCTGGATGACTTTAGCAATGAGGGTGAGAGTWCGAGAGGTCTGGTCATCAGGATACTCCTGCATGAGGTTGAAGAGGCTTGGAGACATGATGGCAGGGCACAGGAAGCGCAGGAACAGAGAGGCACTGATCAGACGTTCACTGATGTCCTGCTTGCCCCTGTTCTGGCACTGCTGCTTCCAAGCTGCAAACACCTCCTTCAGCTCACGAGGGAATACACTGAAAAGCGAAAAAACCCCAGAAATAAACGCGCACTGGCAATGAGATGCAACAAGTTGAACTGGTGATCAGTCACCTGAAATACTTATCTGTGAGAAAACATCATCAGCTCTTTCTTTACCTCCCCTTTYCCTCTCTTTGTCTCTAGGCTATGTAATGTCATTAGGCATCTATTCATAGATCCCCATTTAATCTGGTGGCACTTAAGTAGTCTTTAAAGCACCCCTTGTTCATATGTGYTAAGTGAAGCCATTTCCAGACACGCTGATTTACAAGCTAAGAACTACTTATCCATTGCTACCCTGGAGCAAACAGGGTGYTGGAATACTGAAAACAAACCCAGCCAAACTGAACTCATCTCCATATCTGACAGTTTTACCTCGCTTGTTAAGCTCTCAATTCTGTGCCTGTGCCTCATGCCCAAGCAGAAAGGCCCCTCTTCTTCCACTGCTATTTGGAAGCAGAGATTAATAGAAATCTCTCTGCCAATGCTTTYCCCCTGTGATTTCCTGTTCAATTCCACATATCTGAAGAGTCTAAAAGTTTTCTGGACACATCAAAACTTGCAGCTTTTTGTGCCAAGTCCAAGCTAAGCTGTTATCTTCTCACTTTATTTCCTCAGTAGTGTGAGGTGTTCCCTTGGCAGAGGATTTGGGGTGGGCTGGGTCCCCTCAGYCTGGGCACAAATTCCACCTGCAGCCTGGAGTCACAGGCAGGAAGGCAGTGAGGAAAGGGAATGAAGGGARGATGGAGGGGTCTGTGCTCCTTCACTGCTGCTCTCTCACCCTCAGAGGAGGAATGGGATGCTGTGAGCAAACAGGGACAAGGGCAGGGATGGAAGATGCCTTACCAGTAGGAATTGATAATTTTGCAGAAGACCAGTTCACAACACATTTTCAGGTTGCACTGATGATCTGCTAATTCACTCTGTGAGCACCTGCTGGGATCTGCTTCACAGTTTTCATCTGACTCATACACGGCCTTGATAAACTCCCCTGGAAAAAGGGAAGAGGATGAGAAACCAGGTTAGTTACAGGAAAAGCCTACTTGACACACCTTTAAATCCTGCTTAAGTCTTTCCCTAGCAACTGCCTGTCCTGCTCTGTCCTGCTCCTGGCTGTCTGCAGTCCAGCCTCCAGACACCAGACGTTGGGGACATTGGGGACACGACTCCTGCCAGCCCCTTCCCAGCAGAGCACAGGCAGGGCTCTGATGTGCAGCCTTGGGTGCCCTCACTGTCCCCAAGCACAGGTGCAGTAACAGGATGGCTTTGCTTAATAAGGCAGGCATTTCACTTAGGGTGAATCCTAGAGAGGAGGATTTGACTTGGTATTCAAACTGTGTTATCAACTATGGAATTATCCACAGTCTTAGGAATGAAGCTGTGTGCTATTTGTCTTCATAATTTCCCCAGGAAATGCACTTGGCAATGATATTTATTTATATTATTTCTAAATCTGCCTTTTTTTTTAGTTTTAAAAAGTGTCATCTTGCTCTTGAATAAGAGTAATACCAAGCACTAGCTGCTAATTTTCTCAGCCTCCTGTACAGACACCTTACAGCRTTTTTATGGCCTGCATCTTTCAAGCTTCTTGGCATTTCTGTCACCCTTCCCTTTCAGCACCACAACAGAAACTGCTCACATCCAAACCACATGAAGTTGCCTTTGTCTGACAGACTGGAATGAACTACTCACTGGTCTCCCTCCTCTGTATGCAGGCATTCCGAGTGATTTTTAAACTGTTGGGTGTTCACAAGGAAAAACTCTTTATTCATTGGTTTAATGATTCAGTGTCTTTCAAGTTCATCTCCTCAGATGATCTCGCTGGCTCTGAGCTAACACAAGGCTTGTTTGTACAAAAGGGGTTTGTTTTTAGCCCTTTGCTTTCCTGAAACCTTTTAAATACCTCCCAGCCCCTCCCCAGATCTCAGCTTGGTGGTGTTGCAAGCAAAGCAGGCACCACATTTTCTTATTTTTTTTTAATGGGGTCTAAAACATTTCTGAGGGCATCTAGCTCTCTCATTTGCAGAACTGTTGGCAGCAATTTCGTTGAGCCAATTCTGTTTTAACTCTCGTTTACTGGCTATTTTTTATCCTTACTTGAAAATGACTCTTTGTGGCCCATAAATGCCTGCTATAATCAGATATAAGGCACCTTTACAGATGTGTTGGATTACTAACACCAAGCACAATGCCATTAATCCTTTCAATGAACAGGGCAGCTGAGTAAAATGACATTTAAAACCTGACATCTAAAGAATGAGATGGGGATATTGTCATGAGCAACATTGCCTGGAGCTATAGACAAGCTGGACAAGCTTAGGGGCATTTTCCATCTCTCCTGYCTATGATTTACCATCTTATCACTCAGCACTAAATGATGTATTAGAAGTCATTAATGTTAAAATATTTCATGCAATTAGTGCACATTAAGGAGCTTGCAGTCAGCTGTAATGGAGTGGTCCCCCAGCTGATGTCCAGCCTGCTGGGAAGCAGAGCACAAAGTACCAGGCTGCTCGTTTCTCCRGACCAGGTGAGAGCCTACAACTGTGACTTACACTCAGTGGTTCCACCCAGGAGAATAAGACTACCAGAACAGGCTGATTACAGTGCAGAAATGGCCAAGCTGGATATAATCACAGGGCTGACTACACTGACCCTTGGAGCACTAATTTAGCCTGCTATCTCCTTGATGCCTTGCCAGCGTCTGGGATTGCTGAGGACAAGCAAGACTGCTGGGAAAGCAACCTGCTTGGCTTTTTTTTTCTTTTTGTGAAAGGATGTGGTGTGGGACTTGGCTTTGGCCTGATCTTGTTTCTCTTGTATCAATTTCCAAAGCTTTCTCCATCCCAGAAACAACAGGGGGTGGGTGGTTCATTGTGGAATGGTGGATAAGGAGGATTGTGCAGAGCTGATAAAAGCTGACTGTGGTGTGTCTGCGGAAGACAGTGAGCCTGGGTTTGGTCCCYTTTACTGCTCTCCTTGTGGGGACAGGAATTCCCAAGGCAGTGGCTTATGACTAGAGGAGAACCTTTTGGTGGTGAGGGGGAGAATATCAAAATTATCAGAATCTACCCTGGCACGTAACTGTGGGCATGAAGACCCCATGGCAGGGATGGAGTAGGAGATCACAGGATGGCTGGGCAGTTTTAAAGATTCAGTGAACAATGAACACTGGGGATAAACACAGGCAAGAGGCTCCCCAGACAGGAGGTATATTGATCTTCTGCCCTGAGATGTTTGGCAGCCTGGCAGCCTCACTCCCTGGCCCTGTCTCTCTAAGGACTATGGGTCAAAATCCCTTTTTAAAGCCTGTTTGTAYATCAGATGGAACAACTACCATTGCTCACAAAGAAACTGCAGTGTTACACCTCTTCATCACACTGGAGACACAAAAGACAGTTACCAGAAAACCAGAACATGGTAATACAAACTTGAAGAGGGACTCAGCTACATCAAATTAAGCTTGTCTTGGGTGCTACTCCTGAAGGCACCAAAGGGCACTCTCCTCCATGTGGAGGAAGGGCATCAAGAGCAGCAGTGTGCTATCTGTGTATGAGACACCTGGGCTGAGTGCTGAGGCAGATCCTTCCCATCCTCCACTCCCAGCTGCACACACAGGTCAGGCTCAGCCCTTGCCATGCTGGCAGACAGGGAGTTTCTTACCCAGTGCATCCTGGAGGTACTTCTGCCCTACCAGCTTGAGGTATTCCTCTATAGCTTTGGTAGCGAGTGTATTCTCCCTGAAGATCAAGACATCRTGTTCTGCACAACGGTCTACTTCAGCCATCACCAGATCAGTCAAGAAGTCCTGAGGAAAAAGGTCAAATGGCAAAGGTGATTTTAACCAGCTCCGTTGTGCCAGGCTAATTGCAGAAACCAAGAAGGAGGGAATATTTCAGGATTACTGAAATAATTGCTTAGCCTGAGACAAGGTGTGCAGCTGTTATCTGAAGTAAGGGTCAAGGAAATAGCCAGGGCTCCTCTTGGGTTTATTATACTTACTAAATGATTTAGATCCCAAATTATAAAGGGCAAAACAAAAGTCTCTAAAAGCAAACATTTACAGCCATGATTGGGTTTCAGTTTAGGTTGGGAACAGAACCCCTCATCAGTCTGTTCATCAGTGGTTTTGCTTGCTGAAAGAAACTATTATATTCATGCTATTATATTCATGCTATTATATTCATCTTTTTATAAGGAATATTCCATACAAACTTGGATTTAAAAATCCAAATTGAAAGTGAGGCACAAGTTATTACACCTTGATGATATTTAAATAAGAAGAATGGCTTAATAAATTAAATTCACAAACCAAAAGTGGTTTGGGATTTGAGAAAAAATAAGTCAACATACTTGCTGGTTATCTATATGGCTTAACTTGAACTGTTTTCAATTCTCCGGGCAGGAACAATCAGCAAGCCTTGATACAGAGAATAACCTCTTGATATAGGCTCTAATTCTACAGTAATACTTATTTCCTGAAGTGATAACTTTGTGTAAGTCAATGACATTTAGTACTCTTGGTTTTCAGTCCATTATTGCTGTTTCTTTTCAACAAATCCAAGAAAATTCTTTCCACCTGGCACAAACTGGGAGCATCCAGCTGCATCCCCATCAGCAGAAGATGAACTGGAAATGTACCCTCTTAGGTGCTTTGGGGACTTTATGTCAGCCTGAGCCACCTGCTGCTTCCTGTGAATAGAGGTTCAAAACTTCACACACCAGGAACACCAAGTTATAACACTAATTTATCCACTTGCTGCAGCTGGCATTGCAGCAATCCAGAGCTTGTTTTCCAGCAGGATTTCAACACAATCTTAGCTGCCAGCTTCTCTCATCAGGTAACTTGTTAAGGAATGAGTTCCTGTCACACACACTGTCACAGAAYACCAGCCATCCCAAGATGTTTTCCAGGGGCACATGATTATGCAAAAGGACCATTTCTGCAGTGAGGCTGCCCCTTGGGTGTTGCTTACAGCCATCCTTTCACATCTCTGTCCCTGTGCCTTGTACACTGTGGTGCTTTGTTTGCTCTAGCTGGTTTCACTGGAAGGAGCAGCCTACAGTGTGGCACCACTCACACAGCACCTGCAGGCAGCAGCCAGCCAGACCAATGTGTGCTAATGCTTCCCWGAACTCCCCAGGAGCTGCAGGATACTCTCCCACAATCCATTGGAAGAAGTCAGTGTGCACCCAGAAGTCCTAACAGCATCCTTAGGGCAGGTGGGATCACCATTAACTGGGTATAGATCCCCCAAATGGCTGTTCAAACGCTGACCAAATCAATACCGGCATTGATCAGCTGACTCAGCGCTGACTCAGCACTGCTCACTGTATCACAGACTTATTTATAGAAGCAATTCTCCAGTTTATCAACCTCTTGTTTACTTATCTCTTAACCTACATCCTGATTCTAAAAATGCAAGAAAGRTTCCTGAACACTCAAGCGTAGGCACTGATTTCTCAGAATAATGTGAAATTAAAGAGTGCTCCTGCTTACACTTTGTACACAGCATCTTCTGCTGTTGCTCACGGTCATGGGCCCCCCAGCTTCCACCTGAAATCACCTATCAATAGYCAGAATCACTCCAACAGCAGCCACCAGTGCTTACCTTGGCTCTCCCAGTGCTCTGAAGAATGTGCACCAAAGCAGAAGCCATCTCTTCCTTGCTCTTGACACTGATCACAGGTTCCAGCACGGAGCACAGCAGGGCGTAGTTGCTGGTAACATACTCCCCAAATTCTTTGTACTGCTCCATGGGCAAGATGGTGATGGTCTGGTAACGGGATTTGATGCGAATGGAAGGTCCCCCTGATTTGCCTTTGTTGGCTGTAGGGGTGCTCACCGGGTACCATTTCTCCACAAAGTGGCGGCCGCTCACACTGGCCGTGGGAATGTTGACCAGGCCYACGTAATTATTCTTGTCCTTTTTCTTTTTCTTCTCCACATCCTTGTAGATGTGAACTGTGACGCTCTCAATCTGGGGGAGGCTGTAGAACTCAAAGTGCTCCCCCCAGAAAATGTTATCTGCTTTTGCTTTGCTGGTGGTGCGGGCAAAGAGAGTGTCATCAAGGCACACCTCACAGAAGTATTTCTTCTTGGGGGTCAGGTCCTTGGCTTCTATGATCCAGAGGCGAAGCACATTTTCAGCTCGACGGCAATTGTCCTGTGCASAAAGAAGAAAGAGATCAGTTTTGATTCAAAATCCCTAAAAATTGGATATTTCACCTTTCAAAGCAGCAACAAAGGGCTGCCTTTTGTGTCCGAGGTAAGGACAGAGTCAGATTTGTGCATCAGATAGTCTGATCCAGACAGAATCAAAATTTCTAGAAAATTGGASATTTTCTAAAACTGAGACAAAGGGCTGTCTTTTGCATGTCAAGAGCGGGCACTAGAACATTTTTCTTCTTCAAAAGCTGTATTTGAAATGCTTTAGAAAACAAACACTCTGCTCAAGAGTCTCTCCCAGGCTGGTGAGGAGCTCCCAGAGCAATGTTAGCCTCTCCCTGGCAGACAGCATGGCAGCTATGGTGTGACTTATCAGATACTCCTAGCTGATCTTGATTCCCCTTTTTATTCTGGCTCCTATTTGTCTGATGTTGTTTTTTTGGGGTTTCCCACCCAAGCCCAGCTGTGGCCCTACAGTGAAACACGACCCTTACAATGCTGTGCCCCAGGTGCACCATCCCAAGCTGGTTCTGGGGCAGGGATCAGGAAGCACTCTGGTGTGTGTTTACTCATTAAAGCTTTGACCTACTGCACTCCCTGCAAAAGCACATGGCAGCTTTAGACACACGGATGAGCGGACGGCTCCCCAGACTAAATTAATTGAGGATGCATCTGTGGGAAGCCCTGGTACACTGGACTAAAATCCAATCATACCACCTCCATTCCCCCACTAATCTTATTTCCGCAGTTTCTGTTACCTTCATCGGCTGCGAGAGTCTGCGTATGTTTTCCATCCACCAGTCCCTYTCTGCTGCAGAGGAACAACTGAAGCATTTACTGCCTTTGGAGTAGGTTACCTGGAAAGAATAAATGACAGGCTGAGTTCAGGCAAGCYTAGGAGACATGTAAGAGGCTGCAAAAAGCAAGGAGGAAGATAAACAATGCTTGAGTAACAAAGCAAATATGAAAAAGGCAGGAGCTTAGAAGGCAGAAAGGATAAAAGGCCCACAAAATGCAGAGAGCAAAAAAAAAGTCAGTTTGAGATTATTAAAACTAAAGAAATGAAAGAATTTATATAAAACTAAGAGCACCAGAGGCTCCTCTTAAAGGCTTTTAAACAAAGCTTTAATCAACCAGTRATCTATTTTTTCTAAACAGTTGTTAATTGATCCGTGGCTATTAAAGCTTGCTGTTTTYCCCGTTAGGGCCCAGGGGCAGATGATTTGGTTACTAACAGTGTAAACACAGACCCAAATGACAGTGCACTAACGTAAGGCAAAACACACCAGACACGATGACTTCAGTAAATACAAAATATTTCCAGGGGTCCATACAGACAGCAACAGCCTAAACAAACTGAGGGAGCTGTGCTCTGCTCCAGCCCTGACAGCTCAGCTTTCCCACACCAGGGAACCACCTCGGTTTCTTCCCCTCTTACGTGGCCTGACAAGCCTCATTTACTCTTTCCATTCATTTGTGCACACAATTACAAAGCAGTTTGAGACAACAGCCCAGAGATAAATTGTTGCCAGTGTTTTCCACCCAACTCTCCAAGCCTAAGCAAGCTGCAAAGCGCTTCCAACCAGAAGAATGAGGCTGAAGCAAACAGGAACAGCTCCTGGATGCATCCCGAGGGACCAGAGCCTGATATGCTGGTTTACTGCCAGAATTTTCCAGGTTGTAAACAGATCTTTGTTCCAGAAGTTTAGACACATCTGACTAACCCAGCTGAACACAGAGTCACCCGCCCCTGCCATGACAGGTGACATGGCCTCAGCTGCATCCAAATACTCAGGGCTCCATTGCTGGAGCTGTGATGGCAGCACTGTGCTCACCCCCTTGGTTTCTGCCTGTTCCTGGAGCAGAGCTGGGAGCCACAGCCTCTGCTGGAACAGCAAAGGGATCTTTGGATCCTGCCACACAGTGTGACAGACGTGTCCACAGCCACTGAAGCTTCTCCTCTGGCAACTGGAGAGTAGCTGAACTAATGGAAGGGGGCTCTGACTGGAAATCTCATTTCTCAGTTACAGTAATTTTTCTAAATTTAATTTCAGGTGAATTTGGACAGGGTGAACACACAGCTAATGTACATACTGTTGCATGGCCATTGTACTGTGTGTATCAACCACACATTTACACACACACTACAAATGCTTAGATATTTATCAAACTGAAGAGATTTTTCAATTAGAAGACCTGGTAATTGAAAAAGATTTCTCTCTGTTGAGTGATTGATGCCGTTGGCCTGAAGGACTTTGAAAGTCACATATTGGCCCAACAGCCCCCACCCAAAGCTCAGCAGGGCAGTGGCTGCTGCTCTGTTTTCCCATTCCCAGTGGTGGAGCAGCGTTCCACAAGGGYTCAGGGGGATGGCAGCTGCCAGTTTGGAGCCTGTCCCTACCTCAAAGCAGAAGTCTCGTCCAAGGATGCTGTTGTGGAGTGGTTTGACAAAGACTGCCTCTTCTGCCGCAAAATCCAGAGTCTCGATGGCGCTGGCTTGGTTCAGTAAAGACTCATGGGAACGCGACTCCTTCAGCTTGGGCAGCTCACGTGGTCTGTAGGACAAGGAGGAAAGGAAATGTCTTTTTTTTTCTCACAATTACCAAAAGAGCTGGCAAGATCCCAGATAAAGCTGCAGCTTTGTCGGTGCTTATTCAGAACAACTTCTACAATTAGTCTGTGAACCTTATGAAAATAACATTAGGCCAGTAACCCCAGACTCCCAAGGGAATATCCAGCTCCGTACGCCTAGGAAGTCCATTCCCACTGACCTAGAAATTATAGCTGCCAAGTTGTCAGTGAAGGAACAACAGCAAAAAATTCAGAACCAACTGCTGAAATTWAAAAAAAAGCCCATAGGTAGCTTTGGATACAATACTGAAGGTACTTATTACTAGCTAGATTATTAGACAAACGTTGCGTATTAGCAGCAAAAAGCACACAGATCCYTAAATCTGTAACCAATACAGAATGAGGATTACTCATTAGAGCAGATGACTCTTCACAATACATTTTATTTTTACCATACAAAGCCTTTACACTAAAGTCAAATACACAAATTCCTTCCCATTGCATGATGCTCAAATGAGTAATTTTGCACTTTTTTCTTCAGCTGATTCTTCCAGCTTGAACTTCCAATTTTTTTGGATACCTTCTTTCTCTTTTAACTTCTCACTAACACCTACTGCTTCACCTTTCTGATTGTCCTGTAAATCCCTGAGCTCCATCAGAGCTGACAWCTCCCAAATTCACAGTATCTTTTTACCAAGACAATTTTCTCTTTTTCCCCACCAGATTTTGAACACTTCTCAAAGACATTTCCCCCCCTCCACAATGCCACAGCTTTTGGCAGCCAACAGTGACACTATCAAAAGTGCTTTAACCCTTTCTGTACTCTCCCAATACGATTTAAAGCAACATTTGTGCACTATGGGGAGCTCTCCTGTCAAACAGCACTGCAAAATGTGCCCAATTTAGAGGTGACATGGCTTCACCGCTGTTCCTTCTGCCTTCAAACTGACACCYACCCTAGAGGCTTCTGCAACAAAGTCATACAACAATTGAGGCACAACTTGTATCTCAAGGTAAACATCATATGCACRCATCTTATTTTTCCTGTGGCTGGGATTCAGTCAAATCCTTCACAGCTGASCAACAGGGAGGAAGAGAACAGAGTCCCAGCTTAGCAGAGAAGGAGCTGTTGACCTGGCAGGTCTAGATTTTATTAAGATATTGAAGTTCCTATGTTCACTGATCCCTGAAAGCGAGTCCATAAATGAAGCTGCCCATTGAGCAAGTGCTACTGAGCACAAGGAACAGATGTGGAAGTAGAGAGGCATCAGCTCTCTACACACCACTCAGAGAAAGACAGTGCTCTTGTGTTCATCCTCACAGTATTTCCTCTTTTATTCAATGSCCAGTACCAAGGCTTTCAGTATCAAATGGAAAATGCTTTAAAAATGTTATTTATAGGAGAAAGAAAAGCACAGCACATCTAACAGCTTCCTTWATTTTAAAAAATAACTAGTTTTTGTATACTTTACTCACATATACCAAAAAAAAAGCTTCTAACATTCTTTATCCTTAGCAAAATCCAAGTCCTCCTACCTGTGAACAATTTTATAGGGAAACTCAGGAAAAAAACCCCAAACATTTGGAAAAGGCATCTTAACTAAGGCTGCTTAACAAAACCTGGGGTACCACAAAGGATACGGGCAACAAGCAGAGTTCACCCGACTGCTCTTTTGTAGGGAATGAAATGCTGAAGGTATTSGAGCAGATTCACACACAATGAGATTTATTAAACAGTAAGGGAGAACTTTTTTCCCATTGAATATATTGAATGATCTAAGTGCAGGCAGCAAAACCCTTTGATGGGAGGAATATTCCAAAGACACTGATTTCAGATGCAAAGCAGCAGCCCCRGTAGGAGTGGTGGCTGTGCTGTGCTTTGTTCTAACAGGTTCCAGCAGCAGCTGAACCAATGCAAACCCAAAACCTCAGCCATGCATAATTGAGCACTCGCTGCAGTTTAAGGTAGGGCAAGTCTAAAATAAACACACCACAATACACCACTTTAATGTCATCTCTGCAAAATCCTCTCTAATTTCTCCTCTCAAGAAAGCACTGCTGAGGTCACTTGGCTTCTGTCCCTGCCTCAAACGCTGAGCAATTCCCGTCCTTACAAAGYACTGAGAGCCAGCAGCCAGCTCCTGGTCAGTGGAGGAAAGCGTTGGAGTGAGCAAAGAGGGGGAGGAGGAGGGAAAGAGAAATAATTACCAAAGAAAGGAGGAAAAAAAAGAGATTTTGAAAATTCCAGTTAAGCGGAGGCTGCACTTGGAACAAGATGAGACAAGCAGATGTACACACAACAACTGTACAGCCACTTAGTGCAGATCATAGCGGTGCCACATACCACAGCCCCTTCCTCCAAACTTCCTTCTATGGACTACATCTCAGACAAAAAATCCTGCCCGGAGAGCAAGAAAGACACAAACAAATCCAAGAGCAGTTCTTACTCAAGCCTCAGGTTCCAGATTTCAGAGGAGCACCATGCCAGGCCGGGGCCAGGAGAGCAGCCATGGTGAGGGAAGCTCCCTCCCTCCTGATCAGCTGTGCTCCCACTGGCACAGTGGGCACAGAGAGCTCCCGTGTGTGTGCTCCTGTGTTGCCATGGCACAGCATCCCTAAGGAGACTGGGGGGGCTGGCAGCCTGCAGGGGCAGCAGGCCAGGGAGCCCTCTCCACAGACATGGCAAAGGTGACCTTTCCAGACAGAGAGGCTCCTCCTTGTCATTTCGTGTGAGTTTGATGAGATCCCCACATTAAAGGCAACATGAGAGAGTGAAGGATCTTCCAAAAAAGCTTCCAAACAGGGCAGGGGCAAAGGCAGCTACATACAGCAGATGTACCCCAAACCTCCACACCCCATCTTGCATGCCACACCTTTTAGGAGCATCTCTTCTGCTCCACTGCTCTTCTGACTGGTGGGCTCTGAGCATTTGAGTTGAGAGCAGCTGGAGTACTGGTAGTTTTGTTGACTCAGGGTCCCGTGGCAGACAAATGTCTGTCTGTTCCWGCAATACCCCGAAGTTACCATATTTAAAACAGCTCAATAAACTGATTAAGTGGCTTACAATTGGCACTTTATCTTCCATAAACATCAGAGCAAGGTCCTAAAGCTGCTGGTTAGATGCAACCACATGCATTTACAAACACAAGCACAGCCATTTGTGAGCAACACAGTATAGATTTCATCTATTGATAGATCTGCAAAGCAAATCATTAACTTGTGCCTATATCAGCASCATCCCAATCAATACAGGCAATAATTATACAGAAATAATACTTCTCTGATGCTTTAAATTCTCATCTGATATGCTGAAGCCGTAACAAGGAAAGAAAATTGCTTGCTGGCTTCCCTTTGGCACGGATGCCACTAATTCATGTCCCAGYGTCCAGCAAAGGGGCTGGATTAACAGGGTCCTTCCTGTATTAGATAGGRAGCTACCGGTAAAAGGAGCATTGCTCAGACTCTGTCAGGAGAGAGGTAATCCCAGGGAAGCAGATTACTGTAAACAGGAAGATCACATATGCAAAAAGTGGGGGAAGGGTTGTTTGTACAAATCTGTTTCTGTTAAACAGCTCCATTAACAACACAAATCCTGTTTTAAATTATAACTAACCTCCCATGATCAACTTGTTATCCTGCTGCTTTGATATCTATGCATGTACACAACTGAGATTGCAAAGGAACTACTTGGGAGTTCAGTGCAAACAGCTACCAAATCACCAAATAATTCTTACACATTCTCCRTAATTTCTTTCCCATAGGAAAGACAGGCAGAGGAGGAGCATGTTAGGGAACATTTTAAACTTCTCACCTCTTTTTCCTGTTTTGGAGTACTGGTCTTCAGAGCTGGATCATATCCTTTAAATCAGAGCCCAGACAATGCCCTAAACCACTGCCCTGGCAGCAGCATGCRACTGCCACTGAAAAAGAGCTCTCCAACCACCCCATCTTGCTGGCCCAGCCCCAAGCTGACCCTCTCTCCTTGCACACCAYAATTCAGTAATTTTCCGTGACAGGAAGATCTCGGTTGTAAGCCGGGAACTGSAAACCTCTGGCTTTCAGCAGCTGCCCATGGCACACAGCAGCCTATTAGCAAAGTTCTATTATATTCTACTGTCTATAAGGCATGTAGAATAAAGGGTCAAAATCCTAATTGCTCTGGTTATGAAGCTCTCCYGCTGATTTTGACCTATTTAAAAGGCAACCTACAAGGCACAAAAGACTTCCAATTACTGAGCTTACCAGGGGGAGCACTATATTACTTGGAAAACAARCCTGTGGACATCAATAATCCAAAAGATAAAAAACCCAAATGTTTAAAAATGAACTTTCCTTTACCAGACTGGTGTGAAAGGAAAGAACTCARCCCAAGCACCTGGTTACAGCCAAGCCTCCTGTTGGCCTTACATGAAGCTGTTCATCCACACRCTTCAAATAATTCCAGTGCTGAGAGACACTCCCCGAGAGCAGAACGTCGAATTCAACTCTGCAAAGCCACAGGAGAGAGCCTGGACTGTAATGCCAAGAACTTTGGGCTGCTATCCCAGCTCCCAGCCCCGTGGAATGGRACCCTACCGTCTCCAGCATCACCTGCAATTCACCCGCGCTCTGCCCGTGCTGCAGCACCACGGCTCCCTGTCCAAATGCTCCTTTTGTAGGCACCACACCCCGCTTCATTTTCCAACTGCCAATTAGCTGAACATCCTATTACTTGGTCAACAATTCCACAAGTCTAACCAGTTTCATTATTAATTTTTTTTTAAAAAAACGCAGAAACTTAGGGTAACTTATTTATCTGCAAGTCATACTYAGGTGTGATTAAACGCTGGGTTTTTCTGAGTACACCGTTCTGGTCTTCCATTAAGTTTCTGGTCTTTTCTGGCAAGGTCCTACCCAAAGCTTCATTGTTCAAATCCTGGATTTGCAAAGCCCTTCCCTGCCTGCCTGCTCTCCCTGCAGATCACAGCTTGTCTAACAGACACATCTCAGGGTGCAGCCAAGCATGCTGCTGAATCTCACAGCAGGAGGGTTCTTCTCTCTCCTCTGTCACCTGGTCTCTGCTATTAAYGTTTCCAATTGGTTTGTTTTGATGGACCAGAAATGCTTAATTGATTCAGTTTCATCTCACTGCTAATCTCAAGGTGAATGCTACATGGAGGAGACTGGGCTTTGCAGAGAAGCATCAGCCATTAAGGAAAATATATTTATAAAGGGCTTGAGTGAGCTTGCAGGTGGGAGAGAGCAGGAAGGTTTGTGATGAACACTGGGGTCTTGCTCAGTTTTCAGTGAAAAACCAAACAACTGCATGAGGATTGGAAAAAAAAACTGTCTGAAAGAAATCTGTTCACCAAATCAGGAGTGAGGCGTCTCTCCGGAAACAAACCACTCCTCCCCTTCTCCCCACGCTCCAGTGTGCTGATAGCAACAGATATGCTGAATGAACGCAAGCTCCGAGTGAGTCAAGCCTTAATAATGCATTGTGTAACACAGATTTCTATCCTGACATCTAAATCAGGGTGAAAATCCCCCACCCTTTTTTGAAAACCGGCATTAAATTCGAAYGAACCTGAAAACCACGGCAAGTTTTGCCTCTATTATTTCCACGACCCGTGCTATTTTCTGCCTGCAAAAAGGCGAGGAGGGAGGAGCGGGAACTCACCGAAAGTAGAAGAAGCTGTGGCTGGAGGAGTGATAGCGTTTGACCATGAAGCCCAGAGCCATGGCTACCTGCTGCTGGAGCCCATTCCGAGCCAGCGCACCGCCGCTCCCGCTGCCTCATAATGCCATAAAATGACTTTTAGCAAAGCAGGAGGATTCCCACGTGGCAGTAAATCCCAACAGGGCAAAGCCCTCCCAGCTGTCTGCAGAGCTTTGCTGCAGTCGCCGAGACCATATGCAGCCGGTCGCAATCATCTTCGCTCCCTCTCGGTAAACAAAACTGCTGCTCCTCTTGGAAATGCTCTCAAATTGCTGGCCTCAAACTGAAAATRTTMATTTGGTTTCTCYTTTCAAATGTAATTTTCCTTGAGCYTTTTYTCATGCTTTTTTTACATGTTTTATATATCATGGACACTGAGAAAACATGAAAGATGAATGTATGAGTTGAAAAGCTCAAAGGATGCAGGAGGAAATAGGCTGGAAAAGCTGTAAAAGATGCTACAGTGACACGGTGCCAGGTGGCCTCATGGTGAGAGCTGTTGGCAACCTGGAGAGATGCTGCACTGGCCACACAYTGAAGAGCCTCATTCCCACCTGCTGTGGCTCAGAAAGGAGCACAGTCTTAAATCCTCCCACATCGGTGCCTTGCAAAGACAAGATATATGTTTTCAAGTACAAAAAAACCACCAGTAAACCCGAGCCTGAGTAACAGAAGGGATGTGAATTACAGACTGAGAGGTTGTGGATTTCTACAGGACACCCAGATGCTGATTCCTGTTTCTAGAGGGGCACAAGGACTCTCTTCTCTCCGCATCCACTAACCCAGACACACCAAAATAAAGTTAAAAACCAGAAAAGCTAGGTTAGCCAATTGCTTTTTGCTGAAATAGAAAATCTGATTGCAAAAAAAATCTGCAACTCATCTCCAACACAGCTCCCTACAGCATTCCTGACTTCTGTTTTAAATCAGCTCTGAACAGGGAGCATCACCCCTCTGTCACCATTCAGCATGACATGCAAGGTTACAGTATCCCAGATCTTCACRGGCACCAGGATAACTAATCTTCCTTACTCCAGAATTTTAGAGGTATTTCTCTACAAACATCTCMACTTTCTTAACAGGTCCCAAACACCACAAAAGCCTTAAAAAGCAATATGACAGCAACCTCTTCTTCCTTCTAATCCTTGCAGAGTTTTAATTTATAAAGCTGTACAATACTTTCTTTGAAGGCAGGGCCCTTGTGTTTGTCAGAGCAAGAAAAGGGAGATGCTATCAGTGGACCTGGCCCTGAAAAAAACTGTGTAACACCATGACATCACCTAGAATCACCTGCTTGAAATGGGAAGGGGCTGACTCACCAGGGCAGGACAGGAAAATTCTGACTGCTACAGATCAAGGGTCGTGCAGTGGGGACAGAGTGGCAATTCCTTCTCATGAATTTAAAGTCAGCTCTGTGTTCAATAATGCCACCATGTGATCAATTGGATTTTATGTTTTTAGGCATCTGAGAAAATTCACATTTCATTTGAGTCTAGKTGACTGGCAGGGAGTAGAAGGGGGTCTGCTTTTAAAGAGAAGGCAGCTTTGCTGTGTCTAATATCATGTCCTCAACCAAAGATGTAGGAATTAATTATAACCACATATATTAACTTTCCTAGAACAACAGTGCTTCCCTAACACTGCAAAAGCAAGTATCCAGCATGTGTACCAAGCTCAGGAAAGACAACCAAATTATTTATGGCAAAGAGATTCTTACATTACAAAAAAATCAAGCAAAGCTGGTTTCAAACAACGGTAAAAATAACAGGTGCTTGATTACATGGTGGCATTATTTAAGACGCTTATGCACTGAGTTGCTTTTACAGCCATGTTGCAACACCTTGAAAATAGAGATTTATAGGACAACTTGCATCAAAGCAGACTGGGTGGACTACAGGAGCAAGGCCAATTGAGATGGTTATTCACATGTGGTAAGCAGCAGGCTTTTCTGTAACTCCTGATGTTAACAGACCTCCAGCATCCTCAGCCTTGCTATCTCTGTGATTTTCCAGTCTGCCTTTCAGATGGGAAAGGCAGCACCATTGATTGAAGCAGCACAGCATGACAGATACAWCTAATGAATTCAGCTCGGCTGAAGGAGAAGGGAAAATGCACTGAACAATGTCAAATCATAGAAACCTGCCGTGGCCTCGAGTACAGGCCAACTTATTTCTCACTCCATCTCCTTCTCCTGCTGGGCTACCATGGAATGTTACACAGAATATGTTTAATAAAAACAACCAAGAGACTTTACAAATAGTTAGGAAACACCGTGTRTAAGAGCCTTTGCTTGCCTCATATACAACCCATTCTCAGCCTGGATCTCCAGCCAAAAGCTAAACAAGCACAGATATACCAAATGGAGCACTAAGATGGTCAGAAATTACCAAGTTTTCCAGTTTTCTGGGAAACAGATCATCTGTTCGTTGTAGTTACACTGTAATAACTAAAACACCAACAGTGCAAGGATTCTCAGGGTGCCTTTCAGGCACCCTGAGAATCCTTGCACTGTTGGTGTTTTAGTTATTACAATGGGTTGTGCTGGCACTGGCAGAGCCACCCTGCTCACACCAACACAGCTCCTCATCTCACCACAGTGCTGGCCTGCAGCAACCACTGCGTGCAGCAGGGCAAATCTCTCTCCAGCTCATCAATTGCCATGGTTTTGTATCRTGAAATTGGAAATCTGCACCTTATTTGAAACAGATGCAGAAAAAAGTATTGGAGCCTGTCTGTTTAACCTGAGCTTTTCGACAGCTGTGAAGAGCAGCAATTTTCTGTCCTGTGTCAGCAGTCCATTGMACTCTGAACTGTGATGTGCCAGAGGCAGCCTCACATATCCCCTCTTTCAGCTGCACAAGAAATCCTTTGCTGGTTCTCCTTCCATGAGCACATTGTGCCTTGTGTCCATTCTTACCTGTCCTCGGCATTATTGGGAGAGGGCAGACGGAAACTTATATTCCTGTCCAGCTTGGATTGGCTCTTTGTCCTCTTGATAGATCCTTTCAGGCGCTTACTGAAGAAGCCCTAAAATGAGAAGTTGCAGAAGTGAAAAGGGGAAACTGATGCTGGTAACAAATCYCTGAATGCACTGTCACAGAGCCCAAACACAGTGGTGATTCCTGCTGATGCCGGTTACTGGACTGGGATTCCTCTGAGCAGGGATTGCCAGTGACAGTTCCAGCAGGTGAGARCTTCCAATTGCAAAAAATAGCACCACTCACATTATGGGGGCACTTCAATGGATTCCAACTATTATACCAGAGACCCAACCCCACAATTATTCTATAAGGAGTAATCCTCAATATCAGTATTTGTTCCTGCTTCCCCTTTACATGCCATGTTTTCAATTCCTGGGGAGTTTTAGAGTACAGATGTCTCATATTACRAGTTTCTATTGAGCCCACAATTGCAGCCAGGTTTTCCTTTTTAATTTAGATATAGCACGTTAAATCTTAAAATAATTCATAATTTTAATAAGCACAATAGAAAATTTCAAAGCATTTCACACACCAGTGGCTTCAGATATCAGTTACAGTACTGGTGAGAAGCAAAGCTAAACTCAAAAATCTCCTTAGGATCTAAAAATAAACTAAATCTTCAAAGAATCTGTCTTCAAACTACAATTGTTCACCAAACAATCACAGCCCAAAGCTGTGTTAGTTGGAAGGAGCCTCTGGGATCATTTTCTGCTCCGTGGGGGTGTGCTGCCAGCACTAGGTCAGCTTAATTCTGACTTGCTTGAGCCAAGTATTGAAAAACCTCTGGAGACAGAGGGAACAAAGAAGGGGAATCTGCTTTCTGCATCTGAAGGCAGTTCTACATTTAAGACTGCCCTTCAGTTTCCGAGGCTTGCCCACCAGCAGGCTCCTCAGGGGTGAAAACTCCTGACAAACTGGAAAGGCCTGATATCTAAATACTACAAAAAAAACCCCACAAAAAAACAAACCCCATAAATGTATATGATGTGCCACGGAAAAAGGTGCTGTCAAAAGGGAAGAAGTGTCTTTAGCTGTGTGTGCCACTCACACTCTGCCCATGATGATGSACTTTTCTTGGTCCTGGTACTGAAAAAGTGCCTTTGAAAAAACCCTGCAATCAATAGATGCTCCTGGGCTTCTCCTGGGGCCATTGCTGGAATTCAAGTAGAGGATGTASAGCACTTTCAAAGGCACTTTCATATATGCTGACCTCTCAGCATAAAAGGTAACAAACCCAGCCACAGGGATTCAGATCTGGTGGACTCTGGCTTGAGTCCAGTACCTCTCAGTCTGCTCAAATTGCAAACATGAAATAACATGCCTTTTTCCCCTTMAGGGCAGATAAGACAAAGCTGACCCAATTCAGCAGGGGTCCAAAAGTATTTATATTGAATCATTCCAAATCCCACTCGGAGAAGGACCCTGAATGTTCATTTTTGTGCGCATGCACAATTTTAAATTGGCACTGCTTTAACATGGAGCACGTTCTTGGTTTAACTGAACATAATCTATTCCTCAATGGAACAAATGTTCTATCTGGGGTTGAATAAGGTGATCCAGAGTTGACTACACACCAAAAAAAAAAAAAAAAAAAAAAAAAAAAAAAGGGTAAGATCATACAGACAAAAATTATTCAAATAAGGGATGTGCTTATTGGTCATCCTCAAAAGATTTGAAAACATTTGCAATATTTGCTCTGTGCTGGCAGTTCCTGCAGAGCCCATGCTTACAGATGGACAACCTGGGAGCAGCATGAAAAATTCACACGTGCCAGAACTGAGCAGAGTTTTTTGACTTTCATTTCCAAGGAAATGCTTTTAAATACTGAACACRGATATAAAAAAAGATGTATTGATGAAAAAGAAACTTCTACCTGCAACAATACCACCTAACTGAAAGTTTTATTTCCTTTTTCTCCTATAGACAAGAAATGTCTGCCAATGTTTATGAGGCAGCTTGCACCATTAAAAAGACAAAACCAYCTTTACTGCTTTTCTTATTGTCTAGGTATTTCTCTTTAATATTTATTTCAACACAAAACAGACTCCTGTTTGGTTCTTATACCTAAATGTAACAGTGTCTGAGCTTTAAGAATCATCATGGAGCTTCTTTAAAAACATTTTATTGTTTAAACAAACACCATSAAACAAAAAGATGTAAATTATTACTCAAACTGCCAGAATTTATGAGACTATGTTCTTAATCAAAAAGGCACATAATATTTGGTAGGATAAATTAGCTAGGATGCAATTTGAAAACACAGATTTGAGGATCACACTTAACAAGACAAACCCCTGTACAAGTTGCCCTCAGGACCATAGGTTTAGGAGAAGAGGGATGGAAAAGAGAGATGGGAAGAGAGCGATGGTGCACAACCACACATGCAATAAGGAATAGGTCAGGGCAGCCTTGTCATCTCACCCAAAAGCATCAAACACAAGGCTAAGAAATCCCAGTGATACAACRTCTAAAAATAATTCAATCCCACTGAGAATTCTCATTTGGAAGTTAAGCTACTCAGCTCTCCCACTCTGCCAAGAAGCAATCTCTGCAGGAGAAGGGATAATTCAGCAGGCTGTTGGAACTTCCCTTCATAGCTGCACAGGGAAAGCACAGAAACTCTCACCTCTAGGTATTCCCAACCCAGAGTGGTGTTTCTTGAGGGCAGTTTTGGCTTTAGGAAATGCTCACTTTGTGGCAAAGATGTAAACTGGCTGTTTGTCCTTAACCTGAGCAGAGCAGAACAGGAGCTGTCTGACAAATTCAGAGACAGCCCAAGTATGAACTACTCAGCCCCTGGACTGCTGTTCCCCATGGATATGATGATTCTTCACTCTGGGGAGAACAGCCCATGCATAATAAATAATGATTGTCCTGGCTGTTTTGAAAGGGAAAAGTTAATTCAGCCATGAACAAATGAAACAGGGTGTAACCATAACATAAATCAGCCATSGATAAAATGCTATGGTATTAGTGGAAGTTTCAAAGCAAGAAAAGTAGGGTAAAATGGGCAACAAAAATGGYCCATCTTAGACACAGTGCTATTACCTACATTAGTTCTTTCTAGGGCCAAACACACTGCATTTGAGCCTTGCAAAGCATCTTGAACATCTGTAATTCTTGATGAGGAGCACCAATGCATTATTAATAACACCAGGTGGGTAACTTCATTTACAGAGCAATGAGACTCATTCTCTCTGAGGGGAAGGATTGGATGGGTACAAAGATAACCCTCAGGTGACTGTGGATGACAGCACAATGCCTCCCCACTACTGTGCGTGGTGAGGACATGGAGCATTTTATTTCTTAAGCTGTTCACAAGCAGGTATCAAGGAAAAAAAGTAGTGTCATAGCCAAGTGAAAACACTGCCCTGTGCCAGTAATGTTGTAAAGCTATGGGAGGCAAAGAAGCAGGGGAAGATAGCCAGGTTGTAAAATGGGAAGATCAAACTAGAAGATATTCCAGGAATGAGCAGCAAAAGGGTGAAGTTTACTCTTTCCTGCAGAACAACAGCAAAAGGCCTATTTTACTAGCAAGATTGTAAAGTTTGCCTATGAGCCCAGTAACGTTCAGCATTAAAATATTAGCACTGATGTCCTTTGAAAAGACTCAACCACTCTCACAGTAGAAAAGCAGATGAAAACAAATTTACATATACCTTGGAGTTAATAAACAGAACAAGACAGGGACGTAGAACAGCCACATTCCACCATCTACTCATCCAAAAACCTGGCACTATGTCACTGAAGRGGTGGTTTGTGCACAGGCACAAAACAATAAAAAACATATTTGAATGTACAAGCAGAGGATAAAGTCCAATAAAAGTAGAGTGGTGTTATGTAAATCTGCCATAGCTTTCACACTAATGCATCACTCTTCTGATTTTCTCATCTCAGCAAGAAAACTAGAACAAAACAGAACTCCAGAAGTATAAACTGATTAAAGGCAGACAAGAGGGGGATTTACAAATGATATGTTTTAAAGACCAACTATTTATTTTAGGAACAAAGGCAAGAAGGGATTATAGATGTATAAAACAAATAGAATGGAAATTACCTAAGCTCCTCATGCACCTGTTACATAAGAAAACCAAAGGGCAATTTAACATGAGAGGCAGCACGTTTCACTGATTGTCAGGAGACCTTTCCTAATGCTATCTATAAATGAGCCCATCCAATTCACCACTACAAGATATTATAGAGACAATTTTTTTCAGCAAGATTAAAAAAGGATTATGTGTTTATATAAGGAAGAATAACATATGTAGCTGCATTAGTCAGGTTTAAAAATAACGAGAGTGAGCAATAATCATGCTTCAGGACACAAGCTGATCAACAGCAAGGATCAGGAAAGATATTTTTCCCCTGATGGGAGAGCACTGCAGATTTGGCCAGAAAACAATTTCAACTTACCAATGAAAAATGGTCTACAGCCACAGAAGGGATGCAGAATAAGAGGAACAAGTTTAGGAACTTGTAATAAAAAACCCAAGGAAATGCAGAGGATCCCATAACAAGGGTACATTGATAATACACCTGTTAATAAAATGCATCATCAGATTGCGTGCACTCTGCATGATGTGCAGCCRAAAGTACTGCAGGAATCAAATTTCCAAGTCACTGGGAATTATACTGAAAAATTCATGAAGAAGCAAGAGCTRCCTGATAGCCAGGAGGGCCACATCAGCTTTTCAGATCCCAGTTCAACAAGGTGTTTAGAATAGACACAATTGGGAGCAGCACCTGGCTGCCCTTGTGGGAGCTGCCCAGAGCAGGAACAGCAGAAGGAAAGAACATTCTTAAAACCTCTATCCAGGAATTAAGGAATAAAGGTAAAACGTCTGTCTGGAGAACAACGAAACAACGGTGATAAAAAATTAGCATGATAAGAAACAGGTCACCTGAGCCTGTCAGGAAGGACAGGCAATGATTTCCTGACCCTGGCTCTCCCTGGCAYGCAGCCACAAGCAGCCCAACACTTCAGAACACCTTTTGATAACACAGCACACATGCTAATTACAAAAATTATTAAAAATGAGCTTTGCT